TCCCAAGCATGAGTTCCCAAGGTAGGATGCGTGACTTGGTCTTGTCTCTGCTTTCCCTTCCAGGCACCCAGTCCCGAAGAAGTGCAGGGCCCCCAGTGGGGTAAATGGTCCTAGTGGTAATAAAGGTCAGGGCCCACTCAACATCTCCCCCTCCTCTGGGCAGGCCCTGCCGACAGCACCCTGGTCCACTCGGATCTCTGTCTCCTCTATGTCTTTGTTTCTCAGCAGGAGGTCTGTGGGCCCCCAGCATGGGGATCGCCTGGGAAACTTGGTAAAAATGCAAATTCCGGCTAGGCGCGGTGGCTCACGCCTGTAATCCCAGCACTTTGGGAGGCCAAGGCAGGTGGACCACAAGGTCAGGAGATCAAGACCATCCTGGCTAATATGGTGAAATTCCATCTCTACTAAAAATACAAAAAAAAAATTAGCCTGGCGTAGTGGCGGGCGCCTGTAGTCCCAGCTACTCAAGAGGCTGAGGCAAGAGAATGGTGTGAACCCGGGAGGTGGAGCTTGCAGTGAGTCAAGATCGCGCCACTGCACTCCAGCCTGGTGGAGTGACAGACCAAGACTCCATCTCGAAAAAATAAGAAAGCAAATTCCCTGGCCTACTCCAGACACATCAAAGCGACATCTCTGGGGATGGGGCTCAGATGTCTGCATCTTTATCCACCTCCCTCAGGTGCTCCTTGGGCCAGGGAAGGTGGAGAAACACTGCTGGCAACTGAGAGTGTGGCAGGCAGATGTCCTGGGCAGAGGCTCTGTGCTGCTCATCCTCATACCGTGTGCCACGCTGCATCTCCTCCCCTCATCCTCAAAGACAGCTTCTCAAGGGTAAGGGGTAGTCCATCTACACTCCAAATCCCCCATCATCTGACTTGGCAAACCTTTACATGCCCAACATAGCATGCCAGGTGTAGCACTGCCTGCAAACCCAGCATCCCTGTGTTTTCCACAAGAACATGGAATAGGTGCTCAGTGGACTAGTGTGGATTAATCGCTCCTTAGCACCTAGAAGGCCACAGAGCTTCCTCTTTTCCTTTTCAAGGGACTCTTCTCGTGCAAGTGCTGTACACAGAATGCTGCCATGACTGTCCTTCCTGGAGCTCTTAGTACACGCCAACTGCTGCTCCAACCAGAGCTTGGGGTGAACATGATGCTTACTTCACAGGATGATGGAGAGGTCTAAATGGCATAATGTGAGTGACTTGCTCACATTAGCTTCTACCACCATGATGATGAAGACCGCGATGATGATGGCAACTACTCAATTAGTTTTTAGAGGACATGAATTTGAGGTCTTCATGGAGTTATGCCTGACTGCAGCAGAACCAGAAACTCAAATCAGGAGAGTTTTGGCTCCTTCCAATCCAGTTGCAGAGCCACAGGCATCCCTTTGTTCCTGTAGGACCCTGGACAGACCAGGAAAGTGTATGGGTTACATGGGTACAGAGAGTGGCTGACATGTGCCTTTGGCTCCTCCCCATCTCCAACTCTCCCCACCCCAGCCCCCACATTGGTCAGTTCTGTCTTATCTCCTCATGAAGCCCTCATCAGCTTTGCTTTTGGTTGGCTGCTAAGTAATTTCCTATCCCTTCCAGCCTCTGAGCCCCCAGCTTCCACTCTGGCCAGTAGATGACAAAGAAAGGTTTCAGATGATAACCTCCCCAAGCATGTTCTTTTCTCGTAGAGCGATGAGAATACCTTCAAATCGAGTGCATCCCTAAAGGTGGAATTTCAGTAGATGCTACTTATACTCTTTTATATGCAAGTGTTAAATGTATACATCTATGACCCATTTTCTTTCCAAAGACTGAAAGAGGCTTACACTAGGACATATTCAACGAACCTGAAGGATTAAAGAGAAAAGCTTAAGATCATATTGTGATCAGGTGGGGAAGGTGGGAGGGGGCAACAATATTCCCTAATCAGCCAGTGTGATTGGTGCAGCTAAGAATTCCATTGAACCCCAACCTGCCTGGTAAATGGGGCAAATCATCTGGGAAGGAGACCCATCCTTCAATTCCTGAACACGTAGCCATTGCTACCTGGAAAAGATGGCTCCAAGAGTTTTAATTAGGCATGAGGTAGAGCGAGATCAATAGCTTGTACCTTCTCTTGGAGGATGATGCTGGGGAAACAAGGCTCTGCAATAACTGGTCAGTTTCCAGAGAAGTGCTCAGTGCCATGAGGACGGATGTGGAAGCGCTGATGTGGTATAGTTCAGTGGACACACGGAGCAGCTTAGATGAATAGGGAGAGGGGTCTTACCTGAAAGAGGAAGAGGGCAGACAATTCCTTCATGGGGAGAATGTGTGTGTGTGTGTGTGTGTGTGTGAGAGAGAGAGAGAGTGTCTGTGTGTTGTGTGTGTGTGTGCATGTGTGTCTGTGTGTGTTGTGTATGTGTGTGTCTGTGTGTATGTGTCTTGTGTATGTGTGTGTCTCTGTGTGTATGTGTGTTGTGCGTGTGTGTCTGTGTGTTGTGTGCATGTCTGTTGTGTGTGTATGTGTGTGTGTCTGTGTGTGTGTGTCTTGTGTATGTGTGTGTCTCTGTGTGTATGTGTGTTGTGTGTGTGTGTCTGTGTGTGTGTTGTGCGTGTCTGTGTATTTGTGTGTGTGCGCGCACACACCGACTCATGTCCAGACTCTTGTCCAGGGTATTCTTTCTGCTATTAAAGCAAGAAACGATTTCCATTCTAAAGGTGACCCTCGTCCTCACTTGGAGCCTGGCCCTGGCCCTGGGTGCAAGCCACAGTCACCAGAGCGGTGCTGTCCTCTCCCTTGCAGACATCTAAGACAAAGAAGACACACAGCTGAGGAAGGCGAGATGCCTTTTAAAAATTAGACAACATCTTTGAGGGTTTATTTCCTTTATCTCTAGACCTACATCCATTAACCTACACTCAGAGACAATCGCTGCCACTGTTCAGGAAGCCAGCTCAAATGGGTCGAAACTGCCATTGTATATCCAGGAACGACAGACACATGACAGAGATTTTTTTTAATGCCAGTTTCCAAGGAACCAGCTTCTGCTGAATGCAGCCTGATAGAAATTCAAGATAAAACTCTCACGGATTCTGCCCATCCATAAAGTGCCACTTAACAGACAATTTGCACCGTCTGTGAACCGCTCCCATCCGCTAAGCTTCTTTTTTAGCTGTTGTAAACTCTATCTCATCAAACTCTTATCTTTTACCTATACAGAGCCGTACTTTAAATGATAAATTTCAGGGAAAACGGAGGAGGGACGGCGTTTCAGGAATAACTGGGACCGGGGAGATGAGTGTCTTAGGAAGATGAAGATCTGAGTCCTGAACCGTGACTCATGGGAGCCTGGCTGATCTTCGCTCTCACAGGACTTCTCGCTGCTATGACACATTTGCACGGTGACTCCTGGTTCTTTTCCAGGCATCAACGTGAATGTCCATTTTCTTTTGGAATGGCTGTCTCTTGAAACTGTTACAATACACATGGGTTTTCTTTTCTGGCTTTTCTTGTAAGTTGCTGCCTATAAGAAAGGGGGAGAAGAGAGAGAGAATGAGAGAGAGAAAGATTGTCTTCCAAAGGTTGTTTTCTTACCCTCTGTTGCTTAAACAATCATTTTCTGTGTTACTGAGGAAAACCCAAAGCTGTCAGCTTCCCTGGACTTCAGGTCTCCAGCAAACTCACCTCCTCCCTCCCTTGGTTTCACCCCCATCTGCTTATAATTTAATGTTCTGTATGTTTTAATCATTTCATTAGGCATGTCCTTATTTTGAAATGCAACTAATTCTTCAGTTCAAACAAACAGCCAGTAATTCTAAAAATGAAACCATTCTTTTCTTTCGGTTAGACATTGGCTTAGAAGAAATATCACACCTATTTTGAGATGGGCGAAAGAACTCAAATGCCACTAGTTTTTTTTAAACCACTGGCTTTTAAAAGTGGAAATGATCTTAGAGATTGCTTCATTTTCTCCACAGATATGGAACTAACTTTTGGGAATGTTTTCTCGTGTCTTTTCGAACAGTTTGTGATAAAGTCATTCTTATTAAGGTTTCTCTTAATACGGATTTGTAAAAATTATGTCATAAAATACTTCATTTCTGTACTCGGTGACAATGGACACGAAAGAGAAAGTGACTCCACTATAGGACTTGTATGCTTATTAATTTATTTTCTTTACAGGAATTTACATTTATTAAGGCAAGGAGAATCATATTTTTCTATAAGGGGAAAGATAGTTTGCAAGGTGTTTCATGTGATTTTCCCCCTGACACTCAGATTTATTCTATATCAAGAAATGAAGCTTCTGGGCCAGGCGTGGTGGCTCACGCCTGTAATCCCAGCACTTTGGGAGGCCTAGGCAGGCGAATCACCTGAGGTCGGGAGTTCGAGACCAACCTGACCAACATGGAGAAACCCCATCTCTATTAAAAATACAAAATTAGCCAGGCATGGTGGTGCACACCTGTAATCACAGCTACTCAGGAGGCTGAGGCAGGAGATCTACTGAACCTGTGAGGCGGAGGTTGTGGTGAGCTGAGATCACGCCATTGCACTCCAGCCTGGGCAAAAAGAGCAAAACTCCATCTCAAAAGAAAAAAAAAAGCTTCTGAAATTGCAGGAGCGTACAACTGCCCCCTTTATTTACGGGGGATACATTCTTCCAAGACCCCCAGTGGATGCCTGAAACTGCAATAGTACCAAACCCTACATATACTGTGCATGAATTTCTTTTTTTCCTTACCATTCTTGGGTAGGCTGGTCCAAGGGCAGTGGTGTTTACAACTAATTGATCACAATCCGTGGGTAGAAGATTCATTCTTACTGTAGATCTTAGCAATGTCAGCACATAATTTTTTTCTTTCCTTATTAAGTTGATAACTTTCACCTTATCACTTCAAGGAAGCATTTTATGGCTTCTTTTTCGGCATATGCAAATTGCCAGCATCATTACTCTCATGTTTTGAGGCCATTATATAAGAGAATAAGGGTTACTTGAACGCAAAGCACTGGGAAACGGTGACAGTCGATGTGATAACTGAGACGGCCAGCGTGTGACTGACGGGAAGGTTCCTTAGACAGTGTGGATATGCTGGACAAAGAGAAGATTCCCCTCCCAGGTGGGACAGAGCAAGAGGGTGAGAGATTTCAGCACGCAACTGAGAATGACACGCAATTTACAACTTATGAATTGCTTATTTCTGAAATGTTCCCTTTAATTTTTGGGGGCCACAACTGACCACAGGTAAGTGAAACCACAGAAAAGAAAACCTCAGAGAAGGAGGAGCTAATGTATTTAGTTTTAACATTATATCAATGACCCAAGTGGGCAACATGAAAAGTCTTTATTTTCTGATACTTGCATTACTTTCTGGTAATAAAATGTCCTTTCAGTATTTTAGAAGAATGAGTCACATTTCGCACATAGTACTAGACACTTAATAGATGTTTGTTGAAACATTCGTAGATAAGTGGGTAGATACACGCTGACATTTAACGATGTGCCTTATAATTCAGCTTTAAGTGCCAACGTTTATTAACGGTGATGCATAAATACAATAGCACAGATTCTGATATAGCCCCCTCACTGAAAATTTCCCCCTACTTCCAAAACGTAAACCGGGACCATTTAAGTTTCCGTATAAGGATTGAACTGGTAACAACGTAATAGTGAAGTTGTCTTGGACCAATTGTTGGAGGACGCCTTTGGTACCTTTATGGAGAACGGGAAGCCTTTGCGTGTGGCTGACACAAATGGTTGTCACACGCCATCTAGTGGCCATCTGTGAAACTGTGCCTATGCCGTGGGAAAGGCTTTTGGAACGAGCTTGATTGCTCCGAATTTCAGTGCCTATCGGACAGCCAGGGAACATTTGTCCATTTTTAAGGCATTAAACTGAGAAGAACCACTGAGGAAAGCATGCCACGGTCTTTCCCAAAATCCTTGTGTCTTAAGGAACAACCAAGAAGTTAACTAGGGGGAAAAGATTTCTTTTGGGATTCAGGTAAGCAAAACCAAGACGCCGTCGGAGACACCCTTGCCTGCAACAGTTGTGGTACAAAGCAAGGTAAGTAGCGTGATAATCACTGCTTTTTGTCCCACAGAAGCCATCGCTGTGTGCAGAAATCCATGACCTGCCCATGACTTCTACAACCCGGAGGACTTGCCTGACATTACTGAAATGCACAGGGGGCAGATTCTGTGACAGGTGCCGCATTTTATCCAGCTCACTCGTGCTAGTTCCTAAGACATCTTAATTCTTACACGTACGCATAATCGTGATATTTTGCCATGAATTACAATATGTTCCACAATTATCGACTATTTTAATTTTTAGCTTTCTAGCCTGGGACTACTATAATAAAAAGAATTAATAAATCCAAAAGTAGTAGTGGAAAAAATAAATGTCTCCAGGTTTATTCCTGTAAAGTTAATTAGTTAATACAGAGTGAGGACTCTCAGAGTTTGGGGTTTTTTGTTTGTATGTTTTTTGTTTTGTTTTGTTTTGCGTTAAGTATCAGCATTAAGTATCTTCAAGACAATTCAAAATAAGATGAATCAGATGATAAGTCATTTACTTGTAAATTTCACAAAAATAATTAAATACACAGTGTCGGACTACAGCGGAACGTGGGAAGAACATTCAGTATTTGAGAGTAAACAACCCAAATTAAGATAAGTTGTTTAGGAATCTCACAGACAGGAACAGTTTTCTCTCTGGTTTTCCATGGTAGCATGTTTACAGTACTTGAAAAATGTTGCTTTCAAGTCATATTAACTGCTTCTTAAGACCATCAAATAAGAAATGATATAGCTTATTAGTTCCAAAATAGAAAATCCCATAACATCATTTCCTCTTCATGTTAAGGTTAATTTCCATTATAAATATACCCTTTCAGTATAAAATGCTCAACCTCAAAACATACCAGCTTTTGCCTTTTGAACTATAATCCTGATCCATAAATGGTGATAGAGCTTCAGCTACATCTCAAACATTTATGTTCCACTCTCTTTATCAAAGAGTGATTTATTTTAAGAGAAACATTTATCAATTTAAGGTGTCTGAAATGTTCATTTTTTTAAAAAAGGCTATAAACAAGTAGCAAGAAGAATATGGTTTTCTATGGGTTACGTTACATATCAAAAAATCCTAAAATATTTCATCACTTTGATGCACTATTCTCAATTTTTAAAAACTCATGGTCTGAAAGTGAGACAGATATTTTAATGATAATATGTAAAAATAAACCAGATGTACGGTCTTGGGTCTCTGTCGTTGCCTATATATTTAGATGTCTACCAAAAAAAATCCAGATTTTCTGCTTTTCTTAATCTCAAATGTTCAAAATGACTACATTTTCTAGAATATTTACCTATTGGCTGATTGTTATTGTTGAAAAGGAAATCAGACTAATTTTGGCAATACTGTGCCTTACTACAAATCCTGTTTGTACTATGAGAGTGGAGAAAAATAAAATTTGCAGAATTCCAGTCTCTAGCCATTGGCATTTTCCGGGCTTTCTTGTTTTCTATGTATTGAATACCCTGTGCATATGGGAAGCTCAGCTGAGGACTAACGCAAACATTTTACCCACAAGCCAACATGTCGCCACTAAAAATATACCTAAAAATAAACATAAATAAGATGTAAAAGTGCTCTGTCCTCAACAAAGCAGAAGGGTGAGATAAAGCCGTCTGTAGTTGCCGTGACATTCTGACCAGTCCAGTAGAAATCGCATGATTCTTTAGAATATCTAACTCTCTATCTAACTCTTTCCTCTATCTACTTTGTAGCGATATTGCTGGGATAGCCTGAGACAATTTCAGAGAGGTTTGGGGCTCAGGAAGACATAAATGCAATGCATTGTTTTGCACGATCTGGCTGGAAGGGTGTAGTGCGAAGTAAAATTAAGACCTCCTCCTTTATTGTGAGGCACAGTTGGGCTGTTTGATCTCTAAGTCCTTGGGTAATTGGAGTCTGCACAGCCTGTGGATTTGGGTCCTGAGCAGCTCACCCTCATGCCCAAAGCCCACCGCTGACCTGCCTGGGGCACCATTTATCCCCACACACCAGATTCAGCTTGTATTCAAGGTTCTGCCTTGAACACAGGCATTGTTTCCAAGCTGAGAAAACGATGATGTGGAAATTCTAATGGAAGGAAGACATACTGTTTGTTATCAGGTACACAAAAGTAAACAGAAATGATCCTGGGGTCTAAGCAGCCCCCTGCATTTGGGAGATTCCCTCATCACATTCCACAACCCTCCTTTCAATAACGGTGGTTTTCTGATCCAACTTCACTATCACAGGCTTATTTTTTCACACTGAATTTCCATGCAATCCACCTGTCCACCTTAGATCACTGTGCGCTCGTCCTCCTCTGGGCCTGTGAGGTACCAATGGTTACTTTACACTCCATTCATTCAACAAATATTTACTGGACACCTACCGTGCGCCAAGCACTCAGCTAGCTGGGAGCCCTGTGGTGAATAGTAGTGACATGCTTCTCAACAAGGATGGCGATAAACTGACCCAGCTTGCCCAGAACGGAAGAGATTTTCAAGACATGGTGCTTTCAGCTTTTAAAGTAGTATAGTCCCGGACAAACGGGGGCAAGTTGGTCACCCTATAATGATTCTAGCACATACTGTCTTCCATGGCTTCTCGTCGTCTTAGAAAGAAGTTTGTGCCCCTGTTCACAAAGCAGAGTCCTTCACACGTGTTTTCAGATCTATCTAGAAGCTCTGCATGTTTGAGCTAGGCAGAGCTATCGCGGTTAGCCCAGCCACGTGCTACCTTGCCTTAATCACCATGGGGTAGACCCACGTTTGAGGAGCCTGAAGTTTATACAATCCGAGGGGTGGCGGGGGGCAATGCTCTCTTTAAGAAAAAGAAGACAAAATTATCAATACGGAATACAGAGCCTTGAGGGAGGGAACTTGCAAGACAGGACCCTGAAGCTTAAGCTTCCTTAGCTTCTCCGACAATCCTCCTTTGTTTAAAATAATAATAATGAGCAGTTAACATTAACTCATTTAATCCTCACAGGTGGGGTCATTATTTCCATTTTACAGATGAGAAACTTGAGGTCCCAGGAGTTTGGGTAACTTGTCTTTGGTCATCCACCAAAGTTGGATTTTTTTTTCCTTTTTTTTTTTTTTTTTTTTTTTTTTTGAGATAGAGTCTCGCTCTCTCACCCAGGCTGGAATGCAGTGGCGCGATCTCGTCTCACTGCAAGCTCTGCCTCCAGGGTTGATGCCATTCTCCTGCCTCAGCCTCCCAAGTAGCTGGGACTACAGGTGCCCACCATCACACCTGGCTAATTGTTTTGTATTTTTAGTAGAGATGGGGTTTCACCGTGTTAGCCAGGATGGTCTTATCTCCTGACTTCGTGATCTGCCCGTCTCAGCCTCCCAAAGTGCTGGGATTACAGGCGTGAGCCACCACGCCCAGCCTGGAAATGTTGACTGGACAGGGGAAGTAAAGATTCAGCCTGCTGGAGGAAGCAAAACTTGCAAAACACAATCTCCTGCTAGGAATTCAACTAACTCTGTTGGTTTAAAACTCAAATCCTTCAGGAACCAGCCAGTCAAAGTGTGTGGGCCCTGAGAGCTTTTGGGTGGAAGGAAGCTTAGAAGAAGCCTGTGTGTGTGTGGCTCTCAGCAAATGAATGTACCCTGTCCACGTCACGCATTTCTCTAGAGAATGATGGGAGTTGTCATCTGTACTTCCGCGTGCATAATGGTTGTACCTGGGTCTCTCCCTGTCCCTGCTCCAGGAAGGCGCTGGATCCTCCCAAGTCCATGGGTGAGCCTGTGAGAGATCATCTTCTGGCCTTGTTGTTGTTGTTTTTTGTTTTTTTTTTAGCACAACCCATTTTCTACTTCTTCACTTCCCTTCTTGGTGCTCAGCCTGTTCCAGCCGCACTGTCAACATGCCTTGGTCCATAGCTCTGGAAGGCACCTACCAAGCAGGGGCAGTGAACAGAAGATGAGGAGGGTACACTTTGACACCTGGGTTGGAAACCCGGCTCCGTGACCTAGGACCAGTCACTTAACTTCTGTGCCTCGGTTTCCCCATTCTGTCGACTGGGGATGATGAGAGTATATGTCTCACTGGGTTGTAGTGAGGAATGAATGAGGAAGTACAAATGCTGTGCCTAAAGCAGGGCGTGGTGCACAGTAGTACGATAAGTGTCATTATTATCATCATCCAATTATGATTTCTGGCAAGTGGGCACTTCCGTTCAGAAATATCAGTGAGGAGACAGGACCGTACAAGAATACAGGCTGAGTGTTTGAATGGCCATTTCCATTGAGAATCAACGGTGACTTATTTTGCAAGTCCCCATCCCCTCAATTGTCTCCCATCGAAGTGGGCTCATGGTTTAGTCCGTCTGTCCATGGGCCCCATGCTTTCCCTAGAAATGACGCATGAAATAGCACCTCTTAGGCTCACATCAATTACTAATTAAAATGGCGTTACCCCTTAATAGGTTGCAAAGCAGGACTCTCATTTCCCCACTGTGCATTTCCGAAGGCCGGACCCGGGCATCGACCCACCTGGGGTGACTGAGGCTCTCGGGAGAGGGAAACTGGGCGTAGGACAATAAGTTAGGCAACTTCAGAATCTGCACATTGTTCTTGACAAATAACAATATAATAAAGCCAGAAACGTGCTTGCACCCATCAGTCACAGGTGCTGATAATAGTTCACCTAATTACTTCATTATTTTTTGCCACTCCACAGAGCAGTTTGTATTTACAATCCTGTATATGGTTCTATTACTACCACTTATTGTGACGATTCCAGCAATTCCGAGGAGTCTCGGAGGGCCTAGACAAGTAGAATCTTGTTTTTCTTGATTTCCCCTGGGGGGTGGGAGGTGGGAGGAGGTAGAGAGAGGAGGGGTTCAGAGGAAAAGCATCCAGACAGCATCAACCCACAATTGCTCATCTCGGATGAGTGATAAATGATGGGTGATTTTTGAAACGCTAGAATTTTCAAACAAAACAAACATATCCTATCCTATTAGTTACCAGGCAAGCCTACAACACAGTAAGAAAGGGAGAAAGACAGGGTTGGGCTGCCCTGGGCCGGCACCCATGCTGGAGAAGTGACCAGGACCCTGGCTTGGCATCATTACGTTGGAAGCCGAGCTGGAAACCATCCCTAGGGACTTGTCCTAATGAACACGGGCCACAAATTAACAAAGTTGGGTGGGAAAAACATTGTGAATTTTAGTCACTTGAGCATCGGTAAATCTGCTAGAAGTCAGGGCTGATTGCTTTTAGCTTGTTAAGATGTTGATTGTTTATAAATTACGTTTTCCCTTGAAAAAGCAGGCACCTCTCAGCGGCTCCTTGCCACCGGTCCCTTGCTGGGTGCTTCCCACCAGGGACAAAGGCTGCCTGCTGTTCGCTGATCTAATTGGTGCAGCTCTAGACTCTGCAGCCCCCTTGCTGCACTCTGCCCCTTCTCTCCCTTCTACATTTTGAAATCTTTCTTAAACCCAGTGCTCCTACCAGCGGTGGTGTCAGACAGGTACTGGACTGTGCACACCCTGTGTTTTCTCATGATTTGCAGCTACCTGGAGGAGTGAAAACTGAGTGCAAAATTGCCTTGTGAGAGCTGCTTTCCAGTTTAAATCACTTCCCAGTTTAAATTCATTCATTCATTCAATTCATTCATTCATTCATTCATTCATTCATTCGACTTGTAACTTGAATGAATGAATGAATGAATGAATGCACCAGCACCGATCTGGTTGTCCATGCCAGGCAGCTGCTGGAGCTGCAGAGACAGATTACAGAGAGTCAGGGGCTCACCAGCGCAGGCTTGGTTTGCAGGCACATCACTCCAATCTCTGCCTTCATCATCACATGGTGCTATGGGCTGAACTGTGTCCCAGTCCCCAATTCATATGCTGAAGTCCTAAACCCTAATACCTGAGAATGTGACTGCATTTGGAGATAGGGCCTTTAAAGAGGTAATTAATTTATAATGGGGTTGTTAGGGTGAACTCTAATCCAATATGATTGGTGTCCTTGTAGGAAGAGATTAGGACACAAACAACAGACAGCAGGTGACCACAGGAGGACACAGTGAGAAGCTGGCCATCTGCAAGCCAAGGAGAGAGGCCTCGGGAGAAACCGAACCTGCCAGCACCTTGATCTTAGACTTCTAGCCCTCAGAACGATGAGGAAATAAATCTCTGTTGTTCACGCCACCAGTCTGCAGTGTTTTGTTATGGCCACTCCAGCAAACTAATACACATGGCACTGTCCCCGTGTGTCTGTGTATCTCTTCTAATAAGTCCCACCTTTGGCCAGGTGTGGTGGCTCACGCCTGTAATCCCAACACTTTGGGAGGCTGAGAAGGGCAGATCTCCTGAGATCAAGAGTTTGAGACCAGCCTGGCCAACATGGTGAAACCCCATCTCTACTAAAAATACAAAAATTAGCCAGGCATGGTGGCAGGTGCCTGTAATCCCAGCTACTTGGGAGGCTGAGGCAGGAGAATTGCTTGAACCTGGGAGGCAGAGATTGCAGTGAGCTGAGATCATGCTATTGTGCTCAGCCTGGGCAACAAAGCAAGATTCCATCTCAAAAAAAGAAAGAAAGAAAAAGACCCACCCTACTCCGGTGTGACTTCATCTTAACCAATTGTCTCTGCAATGACCCTATTTCCAAATAAGATCACATTCTGAGATTCTGGGAAAGATTCTGGGAAATTTGAGGGAGGAAACTCTCCAACCCAGTGAAGTTTTCTAAAAGAGCCCCCCTTAATCCATTTTTCACATTGACTTTTTTTTATGGGTCTCAATTTTCTTCCCCATCCTTATTCCCCTGGAGAGAGGTCAAGGGCCTGTGTACACTATGATAGTTGCTTTGCAGAGGGCACATGGTTGGTAGGCACTGCTTGTGTCTCAGTGCAGGCTGGGAGCACCAGTCAAAGAAGCAAGGAGCTCTAGGTGCTCCACAATGACCCATGCCTTACACACCAGCTTGGGAGGGCCCCATGCAGCTTTCTCCAGGTCTGTCTACCAGCAAGCCGAGGGGGCAGCTGCAGGACCTTGTGATGTTTGCTGTCTCCACTTATTATCCATCACTGATTTAAATTTGTCCTGAGCTGTTTTCCAGGAAATGAAGTGAGAGATTGCACAACTCCTTTGATCCCTCCCCATCTTCTCAAGGATGGCAGAGAAATGTCCCTGGACCACCACAGCTTGGTGGTCCTCGATCTTGGCAACATGTTGGGATCACCCTGAGGGATCTTGACTGAATTGGTCCAGATGCACCCTGGGCATTGGGATATTTAAAAGGTCCCAACTTAATTCTAACGTGCAGTTGTGATTGCGAAGCAGCTGCTGAAGGTGTCTTCAGTGCTGAGTTGTCAATTACTAAATGGAATCGTGATAAATTTTGATCATGCACACCAACTACCTCAAGAAAGAGACAAGGAAATTGGTGCCCAGGACACCCAAGATCACCCAAGGTCACCAAGCACAGAACCCTAGGCTGGCGCTTCCACTGGCTACAGGCTTCTCCCAAAGTTTTCATTTCCTTTGTGCAAATTAAAGCATTTCATGGTGTTGGTCCATCCCGCTGATCTGCCTTTTCATGATGTCTGCAGGCTTTTATTGAGCTAGTATTTCCTGACCCAGGTAACTATTTCATCTACACTTGAAAATGTGCTGCAACCTTCTTCTCATTCTGATGTCTAATCTAACTGGCCTCACATGAAGAAAAATTCTGTCCCACAACCACACAAACCAAGCCCCAGCCAGCCTTCAGCCTGTGCCATCTCTCATCACCGGGAGGTCCAGGAGAGAACACGCACAAGTTCTCAGCAAGTTCTCCTACTCCACAGACCTGACCGTGAAAAGCCTACAACCTCCCCAGGACCTCCAGGGGCAATCTGTTCACAAGTTAAGGACTCTACTTGCTAACATTGACAGCCATAAGCTGTCTCATTTGCCCACCCGCCTTTCCATTTGTCTACTTTACCTTTGCAGACTGAATAGTTCGGTTTGCAATCATAAAGATTACAACCTGTTGCTTTATGTCCTTTATGATGGTTTCATCTTGGAAAGTGAGGAAATGGGAAGAATAATTAAATGGCTTGATGTTCAGTTCACTGAAGATGAGAGAGTTAAGGGCCAGTGTTTTTTGTTTGTTTTGTTTTTTTAATTTAGAAATGAAAGACGCCTTTGTGTCCCTTCAAAATATCAGCTCAAGAAATGTCTTTATACTAAGACAATTCCACAAACTGTATTTTTTCTTATATCTATTATGGCTTCTTTATTTTGGGGGCCTTTGAGACTGTCCTCTTGTTGTTGTTGTTGTTGCTTTTAAATCAGATTCTCTCTCCTTTCTCTTCACCCCCGACTCTGCTCAACCCTCTCTCTCCCCTCTGTCCAGGAAGCACATGTATTCCTTGAAGGATAATGACTCTTAAAAGTTATGCTTTCCTATGAGTGAATTTCATGCAATTTATTACCATGTCTTTAAGGGTGATTTTAAAAAGCTATGCTTTTGCTTTAGCTTTAGTGGCCAAAGGAGTTTCATGGAGATCTTTGGTTGCAAATCACTCACGTAACATAATAAAAGCACCATCTAAGTGTTTACCCGCTGGGGGTGCAAGAGTCCTCTGCTTTTGAAGGCCTGGGGCACCCAGGGTGCTGGGACCTGCCTGTTGGGATAGGAGGAGTTAATTAAATTACTTTATATTTAGTGTTAATTTGGTCCTAGACTTGTCAGGTAACAGACAACAAGCCTGGACTTGACTGGGAGCAGCAGCTTGGGCATGAGCAGCTTCTCCTGAGTATTTCTATTGTCAGATTAATGGAGTTGACATCTTGGTTGCAATTAGTTACAAATGTGGTTTCAATATTATTTCAACAGGCGTCAATTTGGGGGCTGTGGTCAGAATCACATGACCTGTTAAATGAAGGTGATACCGCTCAGTTCAGGTCAGCCACTCAGGTGCTGATGTGCCCGTGTCTTGTCAAGCTTTAGGAAGGGAAGAGAGGTTTGGGGATGTTTCTAAAGAACCATCACTTGCAAGAGAATTCAAGACTTAACTGTGTTAAGATGCCAATTTGGCGTGTACTTTCACTGGGTCCAGCTTGGTGTAGAAAGAATTTTGTTGATATAAGAGTATTGGGAAATTCTTCCTGTATTGGTAGTGACCACTTTTGATTATGGATTAAAATTTGCAACACTAATGCAAATCTGAATTTTTCAGAAAGTAGGTTGTGAGAAGTCCTAAACAGTGTGAAATTATATTTCCCAGAAATATTATAGCCCCAATCCATACAGACGTTTAGGACCGTAATTCCCCAGGTAAGGAAAGTGTTCAGATGGCCCAGGTGCGACGACTGCATGGACTTGGACTCAATATTATTTCCCACCTTCACCCCCAAGCCCTTTCACATCATTACTCAGATGAGAAAGACATTCAAGGCTTTTCCCCCCTTGTTTTAGAGAGCTCAACAGAAGGCACAATCTAATGAAAGTACCTTATCAAGCCACTTCCTTGTGGACCTAGTACTCTGTCTACACTCTTTTGCCCACTAAAAGAGATCTTTAGTGGATCCTTAGCGGTTGCCAAGCCGCAGCCACTCCAGAGGATCACCCAGCACTGGAAGTATGTCTGCCATGTTCAGACACCACTGAACCAAACAATACAACCTCCCGATCAGTGAGAAAAGGAACAGGTAGCCCTCCGCCCTTTGGAAATTCAATGTGCACTTATTATGCTTGGTATGGTTTCCACATGTTAATTGTCCAACTAGTAAGTGCCTGAACAAAGATCCTTTTTCCTCCTGATCATCCCAAACTGGTGCCAGTTCTCTGAATATGTACAAACAAAAGCATGTTGCCTATTACTTGATAACACTAGGACAGAATTAACATAAAATACAATGAGGTTAACTCTTCCTTTATCACAGGTCAAGCAAATCTATGATGCCAATGGTTGAATACCTTAGTAGAGAAAAATCTTGAATAATCGACCACAGGTTCAGGAGACAACTGGTTGTTTGAGAGCCCATGAGTCACATAAGCAACCTCAGAGCCAAAGTGTATTCTCTGTGTGGCCTCAGAGCCAAAGTCTCCAGAACATGCAGCCAGACTGCTGGCAGAGAAGATGTGGAGCTGGCATTCTGGCCTAGGCCTGAGCAAGGTCTTGGAAGCCCCAGGTCCCTGACCATGGCCCGCACAGAGCCACACTCCAGCCCTGAGTCTCAGCAGGCAGCCAGGGGAGGCCGTGGTGAGTAAATTACTGCCCGGCCCCCACTCCCCACGGATGTGTCAGCCATCAAATCCACCAACAAGCCAACAATTATGGTCGAACACCTGGCTTCGCTGTAACGTTACATACCTGCCACAGGCACTTTGGACACATAAAATCACATGTTGGGTGGAGGATGGAAAACCAGCTGATGTATCTATTCATCATAGCAAGATAGGGCGGAGTCAGGACACGGTCCCTGACATTTGGAAGAGCTAAACTCAGGCCCAGGTTTTCAGAAACAAAATGCCATTAAACACAAAAGACTGAAGGGTGATGGGGCCCCATTAGGAAAGAATTCACAAAGCTTCATTTCTGATAATTACTTGGAGACTGAAATATAATGATCCCATTTATTCCATCAGCAAGAGTTGTCACGGTCTTGCTACAAGAAGAATGAGCCTCCGCCCTTTGGAAATTCAATGTGAACTTACCATTTTCACATTCTGTTTGGTATAGTTTCCACATGTTAATTGTCCAATAAGTAACTTCCTGAGCAAAGATTCTTTCCCTCTCAAGCACTGAAGCTGGTGTCAGGTCTCTGAATATGTGCAAATCAAACAAGACAAATGCTTGTTGTCTATTACCTGATAAGCCTCGGATAAAATTAACATAAAAAATAATGAGGCTGTTCTACTCTTCCTATCTCATAGATCAAATAACTCTATGATGGAAATAGGATCACCACAGTGTGCACTGGAAGAGAAAAATCTTGAGGTAATAATGTATGTCTTCCTACATGATATCAATGGCTAATACCTTTGGAATTAACATCATCTCCTATGTAAGATGCATATTATTTATATATAATTAACACATTTATATTATAAACATGATATCCATGTATATGCTGCCTACAGAGATACTGAAATATTAATATTGTATTCTTAAATATTCTGAAGTCAGATCTTTATAACTAAATTTTTCTGGCTTTTTATTATTTATAAAATTTATTGTTTGGATAAGATATTAAATCCTTTTAATAGTCCATTGTACATCGTTGACTCCCTAGCCCATTTGGAATTAATAAG